CCATGTTCATTGCTGAACATGGTTTTGATCTATGATGTTCATTCCCCCAGTCATAGTCCTCCCATCCAAAGGGGTTTTTTCTTATCCACAATATTCAAGTGCTATAAGAAAAAAATGGACAGTCAGACTGTTGCAGCCTTCATGGAAGCCATGCTAATGGTCTATGTATATCCTACAAACAGTCAAGGAAACACAGCTCCAGATGGTGGCTAAAACCCTAAAAATAGTAGAAACATCATCTGGAATATATGTCCCACATTACAGAAAATCACAAGTTTTTTTTTAGAAACTGGGACCCCAGACACCCCTAGTGGCTGAAGAAATATATCCTTGGTCAACCCCAGCTGCAAAATATATCCTAAGTCCATCCCAGACCAGAAATATATTTCTACAGTGTGACAGTCACAATTCAGGGTCCAGGCATAAGAAATATATTTGGTGTCCATCTCAGTGAAGAAATATATTTTGGGGTGTGTGACACACTAGAAATATATTTGGTGTGACATTGGATGTCAAAATATATTCACGTAAAAGTGGAGATATACAAGCCCCAGGATATATACAATATAGATATACACCCTGACATTTAGTCCTGTAGTATTCATGGAGTTTGCAAGACTAATAGTCAGTTGTTAGTGGGTGACTGAAGTGCTATTAGGAGTGTATATGACAGAAACTCTGAAATGTTGGGAGGGTCTTTAGAAAGAAAAGAAAAGGCAAGAAAAATTGTAACACAGGCTAGCAACTGTTTAACAGCTAGAATGGAGATTGGAGGTCCTATGGCTGCTCTATATCTTTTGGGAAATCCTGATCATTATACTAGTCACAAATTTGTAGTGGTCTACTGGAAAAACTTTGTGAGGGAAGCTCTAAAACCCTTCAGATCAGAGGAAGACTTGGAAAAGGAGATACCTGAAAAACTTCACTTCAGTCACCCACTGACCACTGACTATTAGTCATGTAATTTCAGTATATATTACATGACTAATAGTATTACTGTATTTATTTATTGTACTGAATATATCCAGAATCTTTACTGTATCTATTTCCTTAAAATGTCACAAAATCAGCTGTCACACTATTGAATCTATTTTTTTGCACTAAATAAATCTTTTTGGTGCCAGGACACTGAATTAAATATATTTCGTGGTTTCACTACTGAATCTATTTTTTTGCACTAAATAAATCTTTTTTGATGCCAAGACTCTGAAACAAATATATTTCATGGTTTCACTACTGAATAAATCTTTTTGGTTAACATGTCACAAACTTGCCCGTCACACCACTGAATACATTTTGGCTCTGGATAGACTACTAGAGGTGTCTGGGGTCCTAGTTCCAAAGAAAAGTGTGTTATGATTTTTCACTAGTAGAGGTATTATTGATAAATTTCTTTTTGTTTGTAAATGCTTTCCTGGGGCTGTAGGGTCCTACTGTTTTCAGGATCCACTGCCCATTGCCAAATATGGAAGGTGTGGCTATGTTAAATGAAAAATAGCAATAAAATACAGGGAACAATGATGAGTTTAGGGTGTTGCTCACTGTTGGTGATGATGTTGGGGGCGGTTTTCAGGGTCCAGGGCACATTTCCAAATAAGGAAACATGCGCTTTTTCACATGTAAAATAGCAATAAAGTCAGAAAAAATTAGGGGTGGTGCTCACTGTTGGGGACAATGTTGGAGGTTGTTTTCAGGGTCCAGGGTGCATTTCCAAATATGGTAATATAGCTAAAAATAGCCACAAAATAACTAAAAAATCAGAAAAAAATGGGGGTGGTGCTTTCTGTTGGTGATGACATCTGGGGTTGTTTTCAGGGTCCAGGGCATATGTCCAAATAGGGTAATATATTCAAAAATAGCTAGAAAATAGGAAAGAAAATGGAAAAAAATATGAATGGTGCACAGAACATCAGGCACTGCCTTCAGGGTCCATCCCAAAGAGGAAACATCACCTGGTTTGACCAAAAGTGAAGAAAACCAACAGGAGAATGTTTTTATCTCTCAGGGTCCATGTAATGGGATGTTGGGATGATGGTCACATGACCAATTACCAAAAATGGTGAAAACGAAAGTTGTAACCCTACATTGTAGCTTCCCGGATCTGTTTGAATTATATTCTGAAGTGCTCCTGTTATGGAGATATGAGGTAAAGGAATTTCAAAAGTGTTGCATTTTTTTTTTGTTTTTTGTGTTTTTCTCCATGAAAATAAAACGAAACAACATGATTTCAGTATATTTAGAAAGCTAATAGAAAGGGCTACAATTATTGTATCATGGGGAAAATGGCCAAAAAAGGAAGGTGCATACCCTAGAAAAGAAATTGACACTGACAGATGACTACAAAAGATTACACAAGTCGGACTTAGACTACAAAAGTTGGACTTAGCTACAAAGTTTACTGATAGACTACAAAAGAATAGAAATGTTGGACTTAGACTACAAATTTACTGATAAACTACAAAGGACTACAAATGTCGGACTTAGACTACAAAGTTTACTGATAGACTACAAAAGACTACAAATGTCGGACTTAGACTACAAATTTACTGATAAACTACAAAGGACTACAAATGTCAGACTTAGACTACAAAGTTAGGGTTAGGGTTAGGGTTAAAAGTGTATCCAGACTACAAAGTTTGTAGTGTCCACTTTTCATCATTACAAAATTTTGTAGTGTTCATTTTTTCTTTAGAAGGGTTTGTAGTGTCTGCCTTTTGGGACTACAAAAGTTTGGTGTGCACTTTTCCATTTGGAAAGTTTGTAGTTCCCACTTTTTTTGACTAAAAAGTGTGTGGTTTTTCATCAGAAAAGTTAGTAGTGTCTGCTTTTTGACACTACAAAAGTTTGTAGTGTGCACTTTTTCATTAGTAAAGTTTGTAGTGTCTGCTTTTTGAGACTACAAGAGTTTGTAGTGTGCGCTTTTTCATTAGAAAAGTTTGTAGTGTCTGCTTTTTGAGACCACAAAAGTTTGTAGTTGACATGTAGTTTATGGTGTCCTTGGCTCTGTCTAGGTTATGGGGATGAGGTTGAAGGATTAACATGATCTTACTTACATATTTCCAGTTCTGCTGCATTAGTTTTTGACATTATGCACAAGCAGTCTTTTACATTAGGAAAGGCTAGCCTAGGCCTTCATATTGATACCTACTGTCCTATTTCAAAACATAATTATAAGCTCATGGGGATATGGCTGAAGGATTGACATGACCTCACATATTTCATTAAAAATAAGTGTATAGAAGATGGGCAGATAGATGATAAAAGCAATAATGATCTTAGATACTATCAAGATCAGGAACTTGTTTTAGCTGTATATTCTCAACTTTAAATTAAAACTTTGTCTTGATAAATTTAACATTAAAATAGAATTCTAGCTTAATAAATACATTTATAACATTGAATGCAGGCCACATTGATTTGAAGCAAATGATTATAAAGAATTGTAAATAAATGTCAATTGATTTTACAATTTCTTAGACATTGTTACTGTAACATTATTTACAATCTCTTCACACTAATTTGGTTCAAGTTAATGTGGCTTGCATCCATTGTTAATGAAAATGTTAAAATATGCCTTTTTAGAAAAAAACTTACTCTACATATTTTTCAGCATTGGAGGTCCATGGGAAGGACTCATACATGCCATGCAAAGCACTGGCCCACACCCACAAGTCATATGAGGGGTGTGATATTCGGTGGACTCTTGGAGGTGGGCCTTGCGAAAATTCTGGTCATTCCTGGATGCGACAATATATTGTAATTGATGCTTCTTTTCTTTCTTGATTGCATTCTATCGTTATTCAACTAACGCATTCCCAAATTCAAAGGCAACGTTCAACATAGTTTTCCTACATTTCCTGACAATACATCTTCTTCATAATCCAATTAAACCAAATGGCAGTTTATTTTAGTCATTTTGTGTCGCCCTTTTACCATATAATAGAATGAAATCTGCATTTTATCTTGGCCATCATGTGTCGCCATTTTTTCCGCATAATAGGCTTGAGTAATTGAGGAGTATGCGATGAAATCACCGATGTATCTCATTGAAAATTTATTTCAATAACGGCGATCACTTGCGTAGCTTGTTTCTGGTAGAAAGTCATAGGGGTAATTGAATGACATGGCTATGCAACTTAATTGCAGAAAAAAAAAATTTGCGGCGATCATCCATCGCACACTAGCATTGAGGGTCGATAGTTGTGGCCAAGGAGGATGTGTTTCAGTAACGGTGATCATGAGCGGTGTGCCACTAGTAAAAAAAAGGATAGATGCAGTGGTGGGTCGCGGCAATTTCATAATCATCTTGTCCTCAATATATTGGCCCCTTAACCTGGGAGTAAACTGGGATGTATAAGAAGGTTGAAACCAGTGCCTGCTCTATCTCCAACTTCTCCTCTTTAGTTCTTTACCAGCATATTTGCAATGCCTACAACTCGCCAAAGCAAGGTTGTCAAAACACCCGAGTTCATCGAGAGTGACTCTGATGATTCCAACGGTTCTGGTGATTATGATGATGAAGACAAGTACGTCTCTACATATTTCAATATTTCTCTTGGCTTCATGCTCAACATTTTTACACAGAAATACCAGCAGGTCTGAAGCTTCCAAAGAGGAAGCCATAGAGTATGTATCTTCCTTGGTTCATATACGTTCATGAATCATATATACAGATCTCCGGAACCTACACCAAGCAAGAAGAAGAAGTCGAAAGCCACTTCAGCAAAGGCTGAAACGTAAGTGTTTGTTTCAACAATTGCCATATGCACTATGAGTTGACGTGTGTTAAGTGTTGGTAAAAAAAGGACCCATAGATCGGCTCAGGATTCCGATGAGGATCCATTTGTAGTCAAGTCTCCTGCTAAAAAAATGCGCAAAACTCCCAAAGGAAAACACTCCAAGTCTTCTAGCAAGGTCTCATCCAAGAAGACAGACGTATCTGACAGGTTGGTCCACAATTGCACAAAGTTAACTCCATCTTTTGCTTATTTTTCTTCAGCTCTTCTCGTGGGAGCTCAGATGAGTGTGTCTTTCATTGAGGGTAAATTTTGACAAATGCACTAAACTTTCTGTCCAGAATGGACGTTGAACTTGATTCTTCTCCCTTGTCCAAAAAGTAAGTACCTTTTATTAAGTTATTTATTATTGCATTGCTGAGCTATCCTTCGGAATTCCTGTGCAGGAGCGTACCCTACGGGAAAGAATTTGACAAGTTGATGTGAGTGACCAGTCAATGGCATTGCAGCTTTCATTGAAGCATTCGTAGTGCAAAAGCAAAGAAGATGCTAGTCGACAACAAGAATCCTTTTGTTTGAACAAAAATGCTGATCCACCATACCAGAAAATCTGAGGTGCTTCTCAAAGACCTAGTACGAGATCCCGTTCCATCGTGCGTAATCATGCCATCTTGTAACCATGAATCCTAAGAGCTCTTTCCAGTTACCCAAAGCTCCGTAAATGTGGTATCTTCAAAGCAGCGCTTGTCGATAAATTTATGAAGATGACATATGGTGCTCCTTTGGTCAATCTGCCATCGTAAGTTGCCTGCTCATGTTCTTATCAATCTGACATGTTGCTTGCAGTGGCAAAGCGTTCATTTCCTGGAAGGGTACTCCCAAGGATGATGAATCGGGCGAAGTCATAGGAATGGCATCCCTGACAAAGCTGAAGAAAGCGTACCCAAGATTCGATATAAAGTGAGCAACCTAGCATTCGGATGTAACCCTTTCATTTGAGTAATGATTGCTTCTTCAGATATCTTGTACGCCTCGCCACCTTTATTATGGACTGTGAAAAGAATGTGGTCAACCTGTCCCGAATTGATCCATGTCAGTTGACTAGCAGGGAAGTTGGTGATCGTGGGAGTCGTATGGTTTATATTAGAGACCGCAAACGGCCCGCTCTCTGCGTCTCCCTTATTGTTGTTGGAGAAGACCACACCGAAACACCTAAGGCATCTGGCGATACATACAGCAAATTCATCACTGGAACACCTTTGATGTTGGAATATGAACACATGGTAGCTGTACTGTGCATGGTTCATGATGTGGACTCTATGCGAGCACAGATTGTTGATAATGAATTGACTTTCTCCACCAGAATGGGTACGTCTTACTATCTGTATCATTTCTGTGTTAACAAACTCCTCGTTTAGAAAAATTCAGCCAATCACCTCGAAAACGTACTCAAAAGGACCTCTTCTCCTCTTTTCGAAGTGATGCTACAACAAGCAACAATAGCCCCACACAGCAATTTACGTACAGTACCCTCGGCGCTTCTGATCAAGGTCCTTCACTTTTTAAAACTTCAATCAACTGCTGATGAGCGCATATAGTTCCCGTCCTTGATGCCACTAATTTGGACAAGCCTACTTGTGGGTGTGGGCCAGTGCTTTGCATGGCATGTATGAGTCCTTCCCATGGACCTCCAATGCTGAAAATATGTAGAATAAGTTTTTCTTCAAAAAGGCATATTTTAACATTTTCATTAACAATAGATGCAAGCCACAGTAGCTTAAACCAAATTAGTGTGAAATAATGTTACAGTAACAATGTCTAAAAAATTGTAAAATCATTTGAAATTTATTTACAATTCTTTATAATCATTTCCTCCAAATTAATGTGGCTTGCATTCAATATTATAAAGATATTAATCTAGAATTCTATTTTAATGTTAAATTTATCAAGACAAAGTTCTAATTTAAAGTTGAGAATATACAGCTAAAACAAGTTCCTGATCTTCATAGTATCTAAGATCATCATTGCTTTTATCATCTATCTGCCCATCTTCTATACACTTATTTTTGGTGGTTATCCCATCATGGAACCATACTTTACCTTCATATGAAAAAACTCTAGAGGTGAAATGATTATCCCCATGGTATATGATCCCTCTCAGGCTCAGTAAGACTTCTTCTCCATTTACTACAAACTTTACCTTGTGACTAGTTTCAGTATTACAGTATGGGTACTCCAGGATGATAATCTTTGGAACCTCTGCATAGGCTACATGCTCAATCATTTCACCTGAGCAACCCCCACATATTTCTGTAGATGGCTTCTGAATTGATCCTATCCATTTTGAAGTTGATGCTGGTATAGGGTCAGATGCATGTAGAACATATCCCAGTGTATCATCTACTTCATATGCATTTCCACAGTCTGAACATATTATTTCAGCCACTGCATTGTTTTTTTCATACTTAAGCATTTCAAATGTAAGTTGTCCAACACTAGCTCCTGTTTTGCCCATAGGAAATTTGATAGGATCTAAATTATGAAGATCATGTCTAAGTTCATCTCTTACATTTTCTAAAGTAAGTGTTCCTTCAAGCACCTTGTTGAAACCAGCTGCCAATGCACCTAAATAATCTTGGTTGATCTCTGTAAAATTTGTAGTCCACCTCACAGGATCTATGTTCCAAATATGATATAAAATTACAAATAAGCTATCATATGCACAACTGTAATTTACAGTATCCCATTGAAGTCCCAACTTGGTGCTAGACTTAGGCTTCAGTATTTTTTTACTCTTTTTCTTTATATTAATCTCATCATCATCATCCAGCTTATGCTTGACTGCAACTGATCCCTTAGCTGGGAAAAATGTTGAAGCTTTCTTGGGTTGCTCTGCTTTCTTATCTTTGCCTCTCTTAATTATCTGCCATGGACTGTCTGTAACCACAGGTAGTATATCCATTGGATCACTTTCACTCCACCTCAAAGATGCATCTGTTTTCTCTGGAACATATTCTGTACCTTTCCAGTCTTGGAAATTTCTGATTAATGAATTACGTGTGTATCCTACAACACAAGAAGGAAGTGACCCTTCATATCTAAGCCTGGTAATTTCATCTAGAAGTTCTTGTTCTCTGAGTTCCTGCCTAAGATATTTTGCACATCCTCTAGTAACAATGCTAGGCTCAAAGCCTTGTAGAATGATAGTTCCAGCTGCACTTGCACTTCTGGAGAGACAAGTATAGTAGGACATATGAGTGTGGCAGCTGTTGAGATGTACAACATTGTATGGTCTAGTTTTTCCTTGAGCTGCATAATCTGTCATTGCAAAATTAGGTAGAACCCAGACTTGTTGTCTTTCTATAGACTCCTTCAGATCACTGGGGAATGTACATGTAATGGTTTTAGTTCCCTTAACTAAAGGCACTACATTTTCTGGAAGCCCAGGTATTTGAATAGTTTTTGAAGGCTTGTCTAACTTTACAAATAGAGTATCCAGTATTCTCTTTCCATGTGGACCTTTCTTTGCCTGCCATCCAACTACAAATCCTTCTTGACCTTTTGTTATGCACAGCTCAGTTGCATCATTATTTCTGATCATCACAGGCATTCCAAGGCAGAGTGAAAGCTTTCCAGCAAAGTGTTCAGTTGATCCATGTCTGACATTCCAGATTTGATGTTGATCATCAAAGTCAATTTCATTTGACTTGTGCTTTGATTTTGAAACAGCCTTTGATTTTCCCCACTTTGTTTTATTGGCTGGATCAGCATCCTTTCCCCACTTGCCTACAGAGTAAAAATGGGTCAATTTTTGGCCTGTCTCCTCAGCAAATCTTTCACACCCCATTTGATTAATTTGATCTTTTTGTGTGTGTCTTCCACATATAATTGCCACATTTCTGAATTCCTTTGAAGCAATCTTAGGTCTTCCTGGCTTTTTACTGGCTTGAAGAGTTCTCAAAAATTTAATGTCCTCAGCAGTACAATTTCCATATCTCATATTGACCAAAGCTTTTCTCAGTGATGCATCTTGGGGAGTCTGAGTTTTCTGCCTCATATTCTCTCTAAGTATAACTACAGTTGTAACCTGATGGCAGAGAGCTTTTCCTACAGCAGCTTCTTGGCCACCTGGCTTTAAGCCGA